GCTCTTCAAGTGAATCAACAAATGGCGAAATGAAAAGCGAACAAATGCTATTTTTTTAAAGAGTCTTAGCTTACATGTGTTTATTTCATATTTTCAGTTCTTACCCTCCCCGACTAAATCGGTTTCAGTTATGTACTGAAATATAAGAATGGACATTAGAGGCTTCTTTCAAAGAAAAAACTCTGGTAAATGTTATTTTATATATTATGCTTTGTATGTTGTTCAGTATATTTCTATGCAAAACAAGAGGGGTTTCAGTACACAGCAGGATATTCACATTTGTAACCAGATATTTACATACACTTTAGGGAGAAAAATGTTTTACTGTACAACATCAATTTAGAGTAAACTTTTGTTAGATAAATATTGAAATATCTTTTGAATTAGTTTAATGTCAGAATAAAGAGAGACAGAGCTTTCTGTTTTTTTATCACTTTGATCAAATTTAGGAGTACATGTACACTAAGTTTGTTAATTAATAAGAAACTCCAGACGATTCCATTCTGAGCTGAAGAAGCTTCTGATAGGTTAGTAGAGTCCATGTGAGTAAATTGGTGGCACAGCTGTGGATGCATATAAGGCAAAACACAGAGCCTGTTTCTTTGAAATGGGAAAATCAAGAGATGTCAACAAAACACCAGGAAAAGAATTGTGGAGCTCCATAAATGTGGCTCAAGTTTGAATACAATTTGGTGCCATTTGCAATTAAGAAATACAGATAGTTTCTCTCTTTACTCTTAAAGTTAACAAATATGTTTTTTATATTTAGCAATCCAAAAAAAACAAACATTTAGTTTGATATGATCTTACAATTAAAAAAGTGTTTGTGTTTTGATCTGAAGAGTACATAAATATGTGGTTTCAACTGTATATTTGATGGTTGTCAGCACAAAGAGGGAGAGAGAGGAACAGAGTGGGAGATGGAGAATGAGGACAGAACAGAGATGGAACAAGAGCAGGTGAGACACACATGTTAGTCAAATGGTTGTTTACCAAAAGTATCACCGTATCATAGGTCCTCGTGTATCTCGTACCTAGTGTTTCTTTTTAGGTTTGTTATTTTTCAAATTCTATATTTATTAAGTTATGCAGGCTTGTTTGCACAACAAGGCTAAATAATTATATAAACTTTTCTCAATCTAAATAGTGGACTTTGGTAGAATTAAAAAAATAAGTGTAGTGCAGGTCTATGATGATTTTTAGTGCTACTATCATCTAGTTCTGATTCTGGTTCTGTCTTTGTTAAGTCCTAAGTAGTCCTGATTTTGAACTCTTGTAGTCCTGTTTTAATTCCGGATCAGTTCTGGGTCTGGTTGAATTGGGGTTTAGTCTTCGTGTCTTGATACACCCCCGACTTTGTTCTGCCTTGCTGCTTAATTAAAAAACTAGTTTAAGGTGTCCTGCACATGTGATATATATTTTTCCCTATATGAAGTCATTCATTATTGAACAAAACTCAAAACAGAGCCTATTAATCTTTCAGTCATTTCTAAACACCCCCCCCCAAAAAAAAAAAAAAAAAAAAAAAAAAAAAAAACCACTAACCCGTCAATTCTCCGCCTAAAAAAAAAAAAAAAAAAAAAAAAAAAAAAAAAAAAAAAAAAAAAAAAAAAAAAGGCCAAACAATAACATTTTAAGTTATCTAAGTGACTCATATATATTTAACCTGAGTAGCGAAAGACAGAGGTGGGTTTGAAAACGATTTGCGGGGAGTCTGGTGTTCTCACGGCGCTAGTGAGCCTAGCCCCCGGCTCGCTAACGAGCTAGTGGGTAACAGATGTCTCCGAAAACGTCGGAGCACTTTTGAAAATATGTGGTGTCTTGATAAACTGAGCAGATATTTGAGGTTTACACAGCTACATTCTCGCCTGAAAATATGTTAAACGTTTATTTTGTGACCAGAAAGAATAATAAGAGTAACATTAAAACTAACTAGCTGCCGCCATTGTTGGAAACTGCGCTGGGCCGCGCTATGAATTCTGGGACACAGCTGCTTCTTCTTCTTCGGGGTTTAACGGTAGCTGACATCCTTGTACATGCAATGCTGCCATCTTCTGTTTCAGTCCGTTATTACACTCTTAAATCCTGCCACTTATTCCTGCATCTTTTGTGATCTTACAAAGTTTCAAACGACGCGTCAACTATTAAATCAGTCGTCGACGATTTTGATAGTCGACGTAATCGTGACTAGTCGGCAAATCGTGGCAGCCCTAATAAGCACCATCTGAAAATCATGTCTTTAAGCAAAGACCTGACACAGAACCTAAGAGATGCATCTGATGCTTCAGTTGATACATCGGCTATTCACTAAAGCCTCATTAGAAATGGTTTCAAAAAGCTATTCTTACGGAAGGGAAACAGGGGGAATAGGCTAAGATTTAAAAGCATAGCAAGACAGAGGAAAAAGAAAAGGAAATCCCCACAAAGCAGCACCACCAGTCATGGATTGGCCTCATTCAAGCTGTAATGATGATGAATACAGGTTGCCAAACATCAACTTTCAAGTTCATGAGAATTGTATTAACTGTTTTTGCCTTATATAATGCATTTCTGTGTATATTTGCACATGTTTCAATAAATCACCCATTTCCCTACCAAATATAAATGAGGGTTGGCTCAGGGCTTTTGCACGGTACAGTACAGCTTGACTACAATAAGTAGACATACCATCATAATACAGTTGTGAACATCATAACCTGGAATGTGGCTTATGTTTTTGTTTGGTCCTGCTGTTGATTGGCTCTCTGGTGGCAGGAACGAGGATCCTTTAAGTTGCAAGAGTTTGTAATAATGATTCTGTTTAAGAAGCACTTCCCAATTTCATGTGCACCAACTGGCAACTTAAGTAAGATATCAGGAGTTGGCAGCACTGCCCTCTACCTGTATTTGTTCTGAGATGGTATATTAAGTAAGTATTAAGTATGCTGTGACAAAACAAATTTCCCACGTGTGGGACTAATAAAGGTTATCTTATCTTATCTTAATTTGAAGACATGCTACCAAATTTAAATGCTGTGGATTTGGAATCTCTTTTTTAATATCAGAACCAGGGTTGAAAACAAACAAAAAATATATATATATATCAGACAAGTTCATTGGTTATTGATCGTCGGGTGTTTTATGTTTAATTTTGTGCTGTTTTTATGTGTGCCTTTTCCTTGTTTCTATTAACAGTCCAGTTCCTTGAGAATCAACTTAGCAAATAACTAAATGCAATTAGGAAGTCTTGCTTTTCTGAGTTAATGAGCTATCCCAGAGCTCATTCTAGGGAAGCCAGCCTCATATTGCTGGTTTTTCCCCACCAGCAACAACACACCTGACAGGTTCTGCTCCATATGTTATCACCACCTGTTTGTAAATGGAATGGCTGCAAAAGTGTCCTTCATCTGATTGCCTCATTTAGGTCAATCAGTCTGAAGCACAAACACCTTGGTGAATAGATCAACAACTGGATTAGTGGGCTGACAGCAGCCTTTTTTGGAAGGATTTAACTTAATGTTGTAGTTGTATTCAAAATAACTAGATATAATTCCTACTTTAATGCTGACCAATTTTATACAATAATAGTTAAACAAGAGGAGGCTGAAAGGAAACTGAAGATCATCAGATAAGTTTGAGTTTAGAGAAAAGCAAATAGTCCATATTTTGACGAGACAGAAGTACTTTAATAAAAAAAAAAGGAAAAAAAAAGTGGTAGTAGTCAGTCATGCATCAGCCTCCAAGCGCCCCTCTCTGGTCCCACCCCACATTCCCAGAGAGAACACTGATCTGTATTCAAAACACACAGGCCAACATCAATAGTCTCTAGAATCATAAATTTGGGCGGTTATGTAACTTTCTGCAGAGACCACATGCAGCCAATAAAGAAATTGATTGGACGAATGCCCAAATGACAAGGCAGATTAGAGGACCTAAGAAGAGTTGCTTTGTCAGGACCTTTCCACATAAAGTTAGATAATGATCAGGCTCTCTCATTTACTAATCCTTTCACTGCTAAAATTGTGATAACCAAACATGTTTCTCAAAGTATTGTATAACAGACAAAATATTGGGCTGTTGACTTAATATGTGCTCCAACGGCCTTTAAGACAGCGTGCAATACAGATTGAAGTGTTCAACAGACAGGCTCCCCTTGTGCATTCAAAGTATTTGGGGTAAAGCTCAAAGACGGGGTGCCTAAAGATTTTCACACTAAGCAGCCTCTATAATGGAGCCTGGATTGAAGCTTACACCCTCTGAGAGCATTATTGATTCTTCTTCCAACTAAAGTGACACCTGTTACAACCCATTAAAAACAAAATACTTCTCTCACTTTATCCTGGACCACCTGGAACCCACTCAAGGACCCATTTGGGGTCCCAGGAGCCCACTTTGAGAACCTCTGCAATGGGGCAACAAGAGTATCCCTGGAACAACTTCCTTTACCCCTCTCCCTCCCCTCTCCCGGAGTAAATGCTGCAAAAGGGATAAAGAGATAAGGCGAGAGTGGTGAAACTCTTGGGAAGGGTGTAAAGGAGAAGAGGAGGAGGGGGAGGTGGACACGGGGAGCTGGAGTCCTACTGGATACAAAGAAGGCTAAAGGGCCACTGCAGACTGCTGTCAAAGTACTACAAACAAGGCAGGCTCCTGGAATTCCAAACTGGAATGCCAAGAAACGCAGAGAAAGGTTTGGGAAATGCACGAGATTCACTGCACGAGATTCACGCACGGCTTCTCGACGTGCCTGTTCGCCTCAGGACAGGCCAGCCTGGGGCATCTTCAGCGGAAGCTTTCCACTTGTAGGTTTACAACATGGTCAGTTCAAGTGACTGCCGAAGAGCGGCGCAATGAATAAACTTTCCAAAGTTCAATGACACACCGTTGTCAAAGAGGGAGGCAGGTCCCGCACATGTCCCGAACATTCATAATGGCTTGTGTCATCGTTAAACTTTTACTACACGTCCACAATGAGCACTCTTCTGACACGCACGAGAAGCATGCTCTCGGAAACATGCACCCACCTTACAGCGAAAGCACCTCGGGCAGGCTGCGACCCTCACACGCGGACGGACACGGAGAGCCGGGGCAGGCTGGAGATGAAGGGACTGACGACAGCGTTGGATCAGGACACGCTGGTGAGCATTCCGGAGTGAACCGCTAGAGACAGAGGAGGAGAGGAGAACGCAAAAACAGTGACTGTAAAGACTGCAGGGCACTCGTCATCTCATGCGGCTAGGGGAGGACTCTCTCTCTCTAACACACGCGCACGCTTACAAACACACCCTCGCAAACGACGCCTCCCATTTATATTAGACCACGCCCACTAGAGAGACCCGATTAATGCGGCGTTCAGGTCTAAGTGGGGGAGGGCGTGTTCAGAGGGTTCCCGTGGTTTCTGGAGATGTATGTTACACTAGAACTTGGCGTTCAGTTCTTGCTGTCAGGGAGCACACGGAGGGGATTATAGAGCCGGAAATGCTATGTGCGGACATAACGTCATGCTGTCGGGGTAGCTCGTTTTCTTGTGTTTGGGGACTCTAACGTTTGTGCCCTTTAATGAATGAAAATAAAAGACAAAAACAGAGTTTCTGTAATTCCAACGAGCCTGAAAGTCAATATTTAACATGAGCACCTTTATTCTTTAAGCAAACCTGAACTATCTCTCTTTTTCCTGTAATTTCTTTAAGTAGCATTCATGAATAGTTGTATGGGCTTCTTGAAGGATATTCAAAGCTCTTCTTTGGATGTTGGCTGCCTTTTGGTCTGGTCTCCATGAAGATGATTCCACATGATATATTGAGATCTGGGTGCTGGGGAGGCCAATCCATGACAAGAACTTTTAGTCCAGTTCTTGTGTGATTTGGCATACCTCAGCCTTTTCTCTCTGCTTCTTGACAGACACCCTTCTGCTGAGACCAGTACCGATAAGGCGTCAGTGAAGAGTAAATGGATCACCTGTAGGGCCTGTGTCAGATCTTTGCTTAAGCTTTTTGTTTTGTTTTGTTTGTTTGTTTTTTTAAAAAGGACATGATTTTCAGATACTGTTCATCTGCTGTAGATAATTTTTTTGGCCGCTTGTGCTTTTGTCCTCCACTTGCAGAACACACTGCACACCATGCTGTGATATACCAATTTTTCTGCTAATAGCTAGAATCACCTTGTTGGTGCCTGTCAAACTGTGCTATATTTAGCATTTTCTGTAGATTCAATTAAAGAAATATGAAGAAATACCTAAAGATAAAGTTCAAAATTGATTATGTGCTAAGTTGTCTTATATATAGATACAACACTGGTTCGTTCCTTGGATTAAGTGCCTTTTTATGCTTTAATGATTCCTCGGTTAGTTTTAAGTGGCTTGACCAAAAAAGAATCCTTTGAAAAAGATCAGTTGAGTTAAAAAGCAGTCAATGTCCAAAGAAAAACTGTCAAAGACCCTTAGAAAGGGGCTGCAGCTGCAGTAATGCAGACGCTGCACCGGTCCGTCGTGGTGAAGAGGGAGCTGAGTGTAAAAGCGAAGCTCTCAATTTACCGGTTGATCTACGTCCCTACCCTCACCTATGGCCACGAGCTGTGGGTAGTGACCGAAAGAACGAGATCACGGATACAAGCGGCAGAAATAAGCTTCCTCCGAAGGGTGGCTGGCCTCTCCCTTAGAGATAGGGTGAGAAGTCCGGCCATCCGGGAGGGGCTCAGAGTAGAGCCGCTGCTGCTCCACATTGAAAGGAGCCAGCTGAGGTGGTTCGGGAATCTGACAAGGATGCCCCCTGGGCGCCTCCTGGGTGAGGTGTTCCAGGCATGTCCCACTGGGAGGAGGCCCGGGGCAGACCCAGGACACGCTGGAGAGATTATATCTCTCGGCTGGCCTGGGAACGCCTTGGTGTTCCCGCGGATAAGCTGGAGGAGGTGGCTGGGGAGAGGGAGGTCTGGGCCTCTTTGCTTAGGCTGCTGCCACTGCGACCCGGCCTCGGATAAAGCGGATGAAGATGGATGGATCGATGGATGGATGGACCCTTAGAAAGCTGAAACTGAAGCCTGGGCTATTGCTCTAAATCCCTTAAAAATACAAGAATACAAGTCTAGCTTTTTAGAAGCAAAACATAAAGAAATGAAATAAAAGAAGCAGTACAGCATGTCAGTGTTAGGCCTACAGATTAAAGTCTAAAATTACTTGTCAGGACTGAAATAGTGAACCATGGTGGGTGCATGTAAAGAGTGCTATTAAAGTGATACACCTGCAGCCTAAAGCTAAGGACTCCGCTTTTAATTAGAGCCGTGCTCTGACAAGCACAATCTGAAACAAAAACACCAGTAGCTGGAAGGTATGTAAATTGCACAACTGAGGGTCAGATCTCATTCTAAGTTATCTCTCAGCACTGGTGTGTTTTCACCCCTCTGAGTTTCCCCATATTGCATAAGAGCTTCTCATGTTTATGTTATTGAAAGCAACGTCAGTGTTGCAAACGTAGCTTGTGTGTTTTTGTAATGTAGGCTGTTAACTACTTTAAAACATACACACACTTTTTAGGCAGACTGTAATGCATCAAAGAGAACAACTTGAAACGAGTGCCCCACCCCTTCTGTCTCCACCAGGAATTAACCAGTGTTCAGTTCATTTTTATGCATACATAAAGCTTGAATAGCTTCATAAGTGATGGGAAAACCCCATAAGAGTCTGAACTGCAAGAACTCGTCAGTCCTGAGCTGTTTGCATATGCCAGGACTTAAAGAATAGACACTGTGAAGCCACCCAGTCACACACACTTACACACGCTGACATACAAGCATGCAACAAAGCATTCGCTTTATGTCTGTCATTTGAGAAAAAAGTAAACACACAGTGTGCTGATTTTACGTCATCAGACATTCAGCTTCACACAGGCCTTTTGTTTAAATGATTGATCAGATACATAGTAGACTAGCCAACACTGGAAAACAAAAAGAGCGCAACCCCTGCTGATAGTCAGCGTGTCCATCACTCATAAGTCGCCGAGTCGAAACTAACAAAGCTGGGTAATATACACCCAGGCAATTAGTGAAGCGTTTGTTAAAGTTTCTTACATGATTATGGATGGGCCACTATGGAGGGACATAAGGCCATGGTTAGTACTTATTAGCTATTTATTTTATTATTTTAAACTTATTGTGCTGTCTTTGATCCCTTTTCCATTAGTGAACATGGAGGCTGTCAGAAATCTAACCCTTAACAGGCTCAGGCCTACATGTTACCATTAATATGTAATGGTTAACAAACACAAACCCAGCAATGAGGAATAAAATCAAGAACCAGAGTCAAACCTGAATGACTATATTTTTGTTCGATTATGTGGCGTAACCTTCTGGTAATTCTTGATTTGGAGGTTGTTTACGTTGGTAGGCTGGTTAAAATGGTTTGGAACGGCAACAAAGGCACAAGCCCGAATACACGTACATGCTCAGAACAAAAATATCACCCGCAGTAACCCACCCACTGACACACAGACATCCACCCACTCAAACACACCCTTTCACATATTTGTAAGGAGGATTAGAATGGTTGTAGAGCGAGCATGAATGCGAACCCACTAAAGAGTCTGTGGTCCCAGCAGGAATTTACTGCTCTCTCTCTTGGCCAAGCTCACCCTTCTGCACTCTGATATTTTTTTCTCCGCCGTGAAAGTTTCAATTAACCTGTCTGTCTGGGAACACCTTGAGAGAAGGCATTTAAAAAGCCTCAGTGTTCAAATTCTGCTAGCTTTTACACGACACTTGTGGCGAACCAGGATGTGCGTGCACAAAATATGCATTTCTAGTTCAATTTGGAATAAAATCTGGATGTTTGCATCATTCATTTGCATCTGAGGGGTGGGGGGAGTGAAGCGGCACAAAGTCTAATGTTTCAGGATTCAGGAATACAGGAAAGGTTCAAGTTCTTTGAGAGTAATTTTGTGTGACCACATAGTGATGAGTCACGACCATGAGCTGCTGCCCGGAATAGTAGCTCATCTGTGGCGTGGCAGAGAGGTTACAATATGTTTCATAAGGACTGCAGGATAGCCACAGTCTTCCAGCGAACCACAGTGCTGGGAATGGCACAGACACATCGGGAGGTGGGGTGGGATGCTTTCCAGGGCAAGGTTCATGCTGCCATCTGCTAAACCTAACATCTGTCTAATTGCTATTTGAGAGGTGGGGCACATATTTTCATTTATATAATCAAAACAAAAGACAGTAGCAGGTAAATTTTTGCTTGATTACAAAATGTATTTATTGAATCAAAAAAAAAGGTAAACAAAATTAACCTTCTCCATAAAACAATGTGCACTTTAAACATAAAAAGCAATAGCTTATAAAAACGTTCACTCAGTAAGTGGAATAAAGCAAATCTATCGCAATGATTTACAAGATATACACTTCGGTAGGCTTTTATTTTGTAGCTCCCTCCCCTCCCAAAATTAAGTTAAAGTTTACCTCTGAAGTTATAGAATTTTGCATCATGCATGAAGTAAACACATATTAAAGTTAGTGTCTATAAAACTAGTTAACCCCCTTTACTCAAAGACTCGAAATACACAGCAGCAAACATTTTACCTGAATATGGAGCGTAAGCTTTTCTTCATTCTAACGATGATCCAGCATGGACTTTAATCGTATCTAATACAAACTATTTAATGGCTCTCACTCATAGCTATGACCCACTAAACCTCCCCTACATAGCAGAAAGAAATGCAATAATGCTTAAATTATGACATAAGCTTTACTAAAGCTGGTTTTAGATTATCTTATCGATTTAATACACTAATCTCTTTGCTTTTTGTGAAACCGTTCTTATGGTTTTTAATGAAAATGCTTCAAAATGTTGAAATGTCAAAAAAACCCAAAAACTATTTCAGCTACAGTATGTACAGTATGTATTTATAGCAAATGTTAAGGCTATGCTTATCATGTTTTCCACCGTGAGTCAGAAATATCACAACATAGCATCTACAGATTTTTAACAGCAGCACAAATGAAGGTTAGAAGCTTAAACAGGAGCACAGTGCACTAACAGGCACCAGCCAGTTGTTACAATATGACTCCTTAGAGTCTGAACTGTGGAAGTTGGCATTACGGACGAGATCTCCATAAAATAATACACTTAAAGCACTGCTCACGGACCTACTGTTTTCTTAAATATACAAAAAAAATTGTTTTAAATAATGTTAATTGTTACAATAAAATAGGAAGTAGTCCAGAATCTGATCAAACTTATTGCACCTCACATCGATTTTTTTTAAACAAACAATATGTGCATAACACTGACTTAGCATTAGGCATATAAGGCATTTGAAACCTACAGTGGTAAAGGCAAATGGAAATGATCACAACACAAAATGATATG